CTACCCCTGGATCATGCAGTGCTGGGGCTGAAACCTGGGGCTTTCATGTCGGACTCCACCAAAGGAGCCACATCTCCGGCTTCCTATGCTCATTTTGATGTTAACCTTTGACAATCTGGTGTTTGCCTGTGTGCCTAGCACATCTTAACAGTCCCTTGTGACACTGGATCTGCATTACAAAGCATTCATAATGAAAGAGGAAGTAAGAGAAATTGCTGCTACAGAATCATTTGCGGCTAGAATTCTGAAATACACACTTAGCTTTTTCCTCCCTGTGTATGTCCTGGAACTCAACAATTCTGCCTCGGCCTCCCAAGTGCTGGGATTACAATGTCATCACATCCAGATTTCCTCCGAACTTGAATATAAGCCAATCAAGACACTTTATAAGTAAAGTATCAAGTGATTTCAGTTATGCGAGCACACTGAGCATTACTTAGGCCAGTGGTTCTCAACCTTCCTAATGCTGCCACCCTTTTTATGTGGTTCCCTATGGTGGTGACCCCCAACCATAAAATTATTTCCATTGCTACTTCATAACTGTAATTTTGCCATTGTGAGTCATAACGTAAATGTTTTCCAATGGTCTTAGGCAAACCCTATGAAAGGGTCACCTGACAAACTCAAGGGGTCACCACCCAGATATTAAGAACCACTTAGACCAACCCGTATGGTATAGCCTGGTACACACCTAGGCTGTACAGTACTTGCAGCACATCACTGACAAACGTAGTCGTTATGTGGGACTTGGCTACAAGTAACCACTCAGGCCAGCACTGTGCAACAACTATTAGGTAGAATCATTCTAGTGTTGGACTCAGTAGCAGTCCCTTCAGATCTGTACATCTACACTACTGGAATATTCTCCAAGTTACTACCTCCTTACCAGTTGTTTTAAGTCCATCTCCTTTAGTAAGTAGTGGTCCTGTCAATTTCCTGCTAAATGATGAAAGCAAATGAAATAAAATCTTCCTGCTGAGATGAAAAGTACAATTGGCCTCTCTCCACAGGGGCAAGCCTGTTTGCTTTGTTAGGCAGAAAAGCAAGGCCAAAATGGTAAGTTTCGACTATGTGTTGGTATTTTTTTTTCCTGTGTTTTCAATACTTGGAATCAAACTCAGGGCCTTATGTGTGCTAGCTAAGTACTCCGCCAGTGATCTACACCCCAGCCCTATGGGTTTTGTTTTGTATTAAAAGCCTGAGTTTGCATTACGTTCTTTTTGGTGTATGGTAGTTTATAATAGTACCAAAGCCATTGCTTCCCAAAATCACTTTATTGTTGTTTTGAGACAGAGTATGTAGTAGACCAGGCTGGCCTCCACTCACAGAGATCCTCCTGCCTCTGCCTCTAAGTGTTCCAGTTAAACATGTGCACTACCATGCCCAGCAAGTTGTTTTAAGATTTGTTTTTAATTTATGTGTATGTGTGTGTGTGCACCATGTTTGAGGGTACCGAGAGACGCCAGTTCCCCTGGAGCTGGAATTACAGGTAGTTGTTGAGCTACATGATATGGATGTTAGAAGCCAAATCAGGTCCTCTAGAATAGCAGCAAGTGTTCTTCCCTACTGAGCCCTCTCTTCAGGGACCCCAAAATCAATTTTACCTACTTTTTTTTTTTGAGACAGGGTTATGCTGTATAGCACTGGCTATCTATTATTATTATTATTGTTTTTGTTTTGTTTTCTTGTTTTTGTTTTTTCGAGACACGGGTTTTCTTTGTAGTTTTGGTGCCTGTCCTGGATCTTGCTCTGTAGACCAGGCTGGCCTCGAACTCACAGAGATTCCGCCTGGCTCTGCCTCCCGAATGCTGAGATTAAAGGTGTGCGCCACCGCCGCCCAGCAGCACTGACTATCTAAAACTTGCTATGTATATAGACCAGGCTGGCCTCAAACTCAAGAGATCTACCTGCCTCTGCCTCCCAAATGTTGGGATTAAAGGTGTGCGCCCATGTGCCTGGCCCCAAATGGATTTTTAAATTGTAGTTTGACTTTAACCAAGCCTGCCTTATTTTTTGTTCGCATAGTCTAAGGTTAGGCTGGCCAACTTTGAGGCCTGGCACTGGCACAGTAGTCCACTGTTTCAAATACTAGTTACTACATCGGCTCATATCTGAGGACTGGAAGAGATGGCCAGTGGTTTCAAACTTATATTGAAACAGAAAGTAGAGACTATGTGGACTAGGAACGTGACTCAGTTGGTAAAGGGTTTGCCTACTATATATATATATATATATATATATATATATACACGAAGACCAAGGTTTGAGCCTAAGCACTCCATAAGCCAGGTCAGGAGACAGGAGGATCAGAAGTTCAAGATCATTCTTGGCTCTCTACAAAGTTTGAGGCTAGCTTAGGCTACATAAAAAACAGTCCTGGGGTCGGGGGTTGCAGAAATGGATGAACATAGCCAGGCACACAATTTTAATCCCAGCACTCGGGAGGCAGAGGCAGGCAGATCTCTGTGAGTTCGAGGACAGCCTGGTCTGCAGACCGAGTTCTAGGACAGGCTCCAAAGCTACACAGAGAAACCCTGTCTCGAAAAACCCAAAATAAATAAATAAAGTTAAAAGTCCTTGCTTGCTCTTCTAGAAGACCTGAGTTCAATTCCTAGAACCTGTGACTGACTCCAGGGCATCTGACCCCCTTTTGTCTTCCATGGGCACCTGCACACACAATATATATGTATATTTAATATAGAAAAAAAATCAGGAAAAAAAAGGCATGGTGGCATACACCAATAATCCCAGCACTCAGGAGGCTCTGTCAGAAGGACAGCCATGAGTTTGAGGCCAGCCTGGGCTATATAAATATCTATCTAAATAAATAAATAAATTCTTATTTTATTTTATTTTATGCCAGACATGGTAGTACACACCTTTTTTAATCCCAATACTCAGGAGGCAGAGGCAACCAGAGCTTTGAGTTCAAGGCCATCCTGGTCTACATAGTGAGTTCTAAGCCAGCCAGAACTACACAGTAAGACCATGTCTCAAAAAATAAATTAATAAACCACTTTTTTTTTAACAAGCTCTGTGCCGACATTCTGGAGACAACTTGTGTGCTCTGTTTTTTTTAACCAGTGCGGTCAGACAGGACCTTTCAAAAGCAGCTCTAGAAAAACGGGCTAGACCTGAACTCCTTATCTCATGGACACACCGGGTCCCTAAATGTTCATGTGCAATTGCAAATTTCAAAACCAGAGGCAAGGTACTGCCATGTGAGGAAGAAAAAGGGTTAAAGGTGCTGGTTCATCATCGTACATCGATAAAATGACAAGTCAGTTTGTGGGGACTCCTCACTTAACCACATGGATCGATAACAGGAAAAGCAGATTTAACCACACCCAACGCTAGGCTGTAAGGATTCTGCTACAGAATTTCCATACCTGGTCAGGAGTTGTAATCCATGACTGGAATCCTAGCACTTGGGAGACTAAGGCAGGAGGAATGCCATGGGTTGGAGGCCATCTGGGAAAGACCTGTGGCTGGAGATGGCTCAGTGGTTAAGAACACTTGCTTGTTAGCTTGGCAGTAGCGCATACCTTTCTCCCAGCACTCGGGGCAGAGACATTCGGATCTCTGAGTTCCAGGACAGTGGAGGCTACAGAGAAACCCTGTCTTTAAAAAAAAGAAAAAAAAAAGAATGCTGCCCTTGCATAGGATCGGGGTTCCATCCACACAGCAGCTCACAACCCTTCCAAGGAATCCAATGCCCTCTCTGGCCTTTGTGAGCCACCAGGCACACATGTGATACACAGATATACATGAAACAAGACGTCCATACAACATAAAAATTAAAAATGTTAAATGTTTCTATGCCTGGCTGGGAAAGTGGGCTTTAGAGAGGCAGCCACCAAACTAATAACTACGTGTTCCAGTTACACATTACAGTTACAGGGTCTCACTATATGACCCAGGCTGGCCTCAAATTTGCAACCCTCCTACCTTATCAGCTCAAGTGCTGGGATTATAGGTGCGTATCCACTATTCACAGAGGCTAATTTCTTTTCAAATACTGAAAAAGCCTCTGCTTCACTGATGAGACAGACCCATGCTGAACAGTTTGATATCGTGGATTGGTCTAAGAGTAAACCGTGGGTCGGGCAGTGGTGGCGCACGCTTTTAATCCCAGCACTCGGGAGGCAGAGCCAGGTGGATCTCTGTGAGTTCAAGGCCAGCCTGGTCTACAGAGCGAGATCCAGGACAGGCACCAAAACAACACTGAGAAACCCTGTCTCAAAAAACCAAAAAAAAAAAAAAAAGAGTAAGCCTGGAAAAATCTTTTGGGTGAAGTTTAGGGACTGACTGCTGAACCGAGACAAAGCAAGCTTTCTGAAAGCATGGCCACCCAATGTCCCACTGCAGAGATGAGCTGGTCAAAACTAAGGCCGGGTCTCCTGTCTGCTGCCACCTCTTCTACTGTCTTAGGTCAATGGGTTAATACTGGAGTGCGGGGGTGGGGTGGGGTGTATTTCCAAGACAGGGTTTCTTTGTGTAGCCCTGGCTGTCCTGGAATTCACTCTGTAGAGATCCACCTGCCTCTGCCAACCGACTGCTGGGATTAAAGGCGTGCATCCCCACCCGACTGATTTCACAAATTTTCAAATCACGACTCCAGTCCAGTGCTCTGTATCTCTCCAGCAGGTAAAGCTACTAAAGAAATTAACAGAATTGTCAAGCTTTAAAAATGTAGCAAGTGGACAGGTAAGAGCTAGATGATACCACCTCTTCAAAGAATGGAAAGCCAAAAAGGAAAAAAAAAAGTGCAGACTCCTTCCTTTGAGAAATCTCAACTGATAAAGCAGGAAGTGTCCGCAGCACCTGCATGGGAGTTCAATGCAATGTTCCTTTGTCTTTGTCAGCCTCCACCCACCTTCCCACGGGAACTCTACCTGAACCACACAATGGCCAATCTTCCCCTACAGGGCCTGTTTCCTGGACTCTCATCTGAATTCAAAATGGGGAAGGGGGAGAAAAACTGCACTTAAGCTGAATCATCCATTTTATTTGATTTTATTTTGTCATGTGCTCACAGCATTTCTCTCTCTCCTCTCCCTGGCAGGTCACAGAGATAAATTAAAAATAAAATCTACAAGGAAAATAATTTATAAAAAGCACTCCCAGGTTCACGCTTTCTATCCCTATTGCTCAGTTAGGAAACCCCTTCCTGCACAGGGAGGGGAATCAGTACTTCCCCCTGACTCACCCCTGCTAGTTGGGGGGCAGACAGTACTCCAGAGCTGACCAGGATTGGGGGGGAGGGGACGCGGCAGTGGCAAGTGACCGGAAAAAAAAAAAAAAAAAAAAAAGACACTGTGATCCTGGAACCATCTGGCTACTACCTTGGTGCTGCTGCCCTCCCTGCCTCCCCAGGGCTGTCCTTCAGGAGCCCAGGCTAACCAGGCTGTGAAGCAGCTGCCTGAAGCTGAAAGCCTAGTGGAGGGGCATCTCCAGCCCTTTCATGCATTTCTCATTTTCCTAGAAAGAAACCCAAAAAAGAAAACAAGACAAGACCTCGGGACAGAGGAGAAAAATCCCAAGTGTTTACACAGTTACACGGAGTCTTTATGGCAAAGAGAACATTTAGCAGCTTTGAATATTGGGGCATCTTCTTCTTACTCAACACAAGCATCCTAGGCCCTATAAGTGAAACAGGGCACACGCCCTAAAAAAATCAAAGCGCAAGAAAGTCTAAGAGGACTAGGTTTTGTTGCTGGGGTTTATAGGTTTTCGTTTTCCCCCAGTGACAAGGCCAGGTGTTAGTAGGCAGAGGGGCCTGAGGGAAGATCACTTCCCAATGTTGTGCTGAACAGTGCCTAGAGGCCACTGAGCTGGCTTCTCCCTCCACACCATCACCTTGCTTCTGTTCAGCCCCTGCAGAGGAAGCTGTAGGCCAGGTTCCGGGTACTGCCAGAGTAGCACCCCACTCCAGAGAGCTCTAGGCAGCTAGTGAGGGTGGGTACCACAAAAGGGGGAGAGTGGGAAGAGAACAGCATTTCCATGCAGGCTCTTAGGTGGTGGCTAGGGAGGGAGGGGGCTGTGGCAGGGCAGTGAGTGACATGCTTGATGTTGGGGCTGCTGCAACACAGGCCTCTTTATCACTGTCTATACCCTCTGCCCTCCTCTGGCCTGAAAACAAGTCAGTGTTGGGTCCCCCACAGCTCTCCGTTTAAGTAACTAAAACAATATAGGTGCCATCCAAGAGCTTCTTCCCCTTCAGGGATGACAGAGTTCAAGAAACAGTTAAAAAGCCCTTCCACGGCCCCACCATGTCTGTGTTTCCATTCCAGAGACTTCACTTAGGCCCACTGGGGTCACACTCACTGCCTGGAATGCTGGCCAAGGCCCTTAACAGTCCCTCTGCTTTTTCTGACTGCTTTGATTTTAGGGGATCTCCTTCCTTTTCTCCTTCCAGGAATGAGACTTTCCACTACTTTCTCTGTTCTCCCAAGTCCTCCTTTTCCCTTTCACTCCACACAGCCCCTCTACCTCCAGCATGCCAATACCACCCTTCCCTCAGGAGAAAGAAGGGAGTAGGCTGGGGACCCCAATCACTCAAATAGTCTGGTCATTTCCACCCACTCCCAGTGGGGAAGCTAAGCCAGACAGCGCCCGCGCCCGCCTCTTCTGTGCACTGACCCGCAGTCATCCCATCTGAGAAGATATATTGGATAAGAAGGCATTTAAGTCCCCAATGTTAGGTCCAGGCCCAGCCCTTCTCCAGTTTCTGTCTTAGTGAGCGTCCACCCCCTGCCTCCCCTGGCTCACTTCCTCCGGTCCTTTGGCTTTCTCTCCTGTCGCCGGGCCTGCTGGTCAGCCATCGTGCGAGGGATGAGGAGGACACTGCCATCCCCAGCATACTGAAGCGCATACTGACTGGGTGAGTAGGGCCTCCCGTTCTCATCCCGCAGCCGCCCAAACACCTCCTGGTATAAGCTCTGGACCTTCTGCTTCATCTGTCGCAGTGACCGCAGGAACTCTACCTTTTCTCGGAGCAACCGGGCCTTGTCTCGCTGCAAGTCCTCCACATCACGTTCTAGGTTCAGGATGGTGTCCAGCTTGCGCTTGCGGCAGTTCTGTGCAGCCATCTTGTTCTTGCCCCGGCGCCGGATGTCCCGGATGAGGCTCAGCTGGGCCTCGCTCAGCTGGTATTTGGACAGCAGCTCATTGAATTCCTCTACGGGTAGGTTGATGATTTTGTCATTGGTGAATGGGATCTTCATGGCTCGGGCTCTGTGCTCATCTCGGCTCATCTGCTTGTCCAGGAAGTCAGCCTGCTTTTCTTTGCTACCTTTCTTGAGGGTGCTAGGTGGTGGTAGATCAGCAGAGTCAAGGGCACTGGGTGCCATATTGTAGGTGTGATTGTGGCCCACATGCTCTAAGTAGGGAAGGCAAGAGAGCTGAGAAGGATCCTGGTAGCTCATGCGGCAGAACTTGGAGTATTCCGGCTGGTAACCCACGGCACCCTCAGCCTCTTCTAGATCTAGCGTCTCCGAGTCAGAGCTGTAACCGACAGCACCTTCCTCAGAAAAGGAAGAAGAGGCAGAGGAGGAAGCAGAAGAGGAGGAGGAGGTGGAAGAAGAGGAAGAAGAGCTGCCTTCAGAGCTGCTCAGGGAGGAAGGGCTATGGCTGGAGTCCAAGGAGAGGCCTGAGTCAGAGTCAAACTCCTCCTCAAGCTGGGAGGCCTGCACCGGGTTGAAGCCCTCCTCAATGGCCAGGTCCATCAGGCTGATTTCATCCAGCATGGCTTCATCTAACAGGCCCCCCAGGGGGTCAGGCAGCTCAGGGCCTGATGTGTCATTGGTTGTGCCATTGAGCTGGGATGGAAAGAAAAGCCCTGCTAGGTTGGTAGAGCCAAAGGTGGAGTTGAGGCTGGTAGAGTTGCTGGGGACGAGTGGAAGCAGGGTGGAGCTGCTGGCCACAGGTAGGCTCTCCACCTCGGGGCTGAAGAGGGAGAAGTCCTGGCTGCAGCCACCCAGGGATGCCTGATGCAGGCTGACATTCTGATTGATAGGAGTGTTGGGCGCAAGGCTGTAGTTGGTGCTAAGAGGGTCTCCAGGAGGGGCACTGTACAGAATTTCACTTGCTGATGTATTCACTTCCATAGCCTGGAAGGGATGGAGAATTATACCAGCATTCAAAAGGAGCAAACTCACACCCTGCAGGCCCCTGACTGAAGCACAGCTCCCTGGGCAAAAGAGCAAGAAACTGGACAGCAAAGCTCCTAGCTTGGACCAGTAGGCTTAGCACAAGGGGTTCCTTCACCCTAATGCAGGACTGACCAGCTCCTAATCGTGTGTGGCTAGATCCCCCTGTCTTGGAGTGACATTTCTGACCTTCCACTGCCCACACTGAACAACTGAGGGCTAAGGGAACTCTGGTAGATCTCGTGCCTCACAGGTACCCTGGGCTCCATCCCTAGCACTGTAAAAAAGAAAACAACAAAGGGCTAGGTAGAGACTGGCAGGCCACGGGGGACAGCAATGGCGATAAAGCAGTGAGAGTGGCAGCCGTCTGCCTGTCTGCCTAACGGAGAGAAGGTGCAACTCAAAGACAGGCCATGCTTTGGAAGGCTCCGTACCGAGTTATAGCTCAATCCCGCCCAACCCCAAGGGACACCTGCAGTCACCCCTCCCAAATGTCTCTACAGGGGGCCCATGACTACATGCTGGGACACCGACACAGAACCCTGCAGCCTGTGCTTTTCTGACAATCCTACCTGCATTTCCATGATGGACATGAGATCTTGCCACTGCTGTTCCAAATCAAATGGTGACTCTGTCCCCGTCAGAAGAGGAGATAGAAGGCTGTTCTGAAGGGTGGGGGACTCGCTCTCACTAGGCACTGCTTCTGCGATGCTGGGAACGTCTGCTGGGAACTGAGGCAGAGCACAGGCTTTACCGTGGGGAGACCCCCTTTTGCTCTCTCACTAGCGACTACCATCTGGCCCCCCGTCTCTTTCTCTGAACTCACCCCCAGCAGCTTAGGCCAGAATCAAGAGCTGGCCCTGCAGCTCAGGGGGGTGTTGTACGGGTTGTGCTATCTGCTCAGTGGGCTCTCTGGTCCTGCTCACCTCAGCATTCTCTCCAAAGGGGCAGGTGACCTCCAGCAGCCTAAGACACTTTTCCAAGGACCCTCCCCACCAGGCACCTGTGGCAACAGCAACTATAAGTCCGACTGGCCTGGGTCCTGGCTATCTAGGACTGATACCTCTTCCCAAGAACCGCTGTAGGTCTGCAGTATTCCAGCCATTCTGAATGGTGGACCTTCATCCCATACTCCCAGGGACAAGAGCAGGGATGACAGAAGTGTCCTAAGATGCTAGACACTTAGCCTGTCTGCAATGTATACTGCCAAGACCTGGTGCTCCTGAGTCCATTGCTCCTCCCCTCCCCACTCCCGTCACCCAGTCACTGTGCCTTTATAGACCCCATGCCAAAACACAATCAGGTCCACAGCAAAGACACAACTCTCCTCCAGAGCAAGTTTTCTGGAAGAGCTCCAGCCTGGTGTGTCTGGGGGGCGGGGAGAGCGGAGACCAGTATCGGAGGCAGCAATACCTGTGCAGGGAAGCTCTCCCCAGTCTCTCCATCTACTAGCAGGTCTCGGGCCAGAGCTTCCGCGCTCTCGCCTGCCCAGGTGTCCTCTCGTTCTCCTCCATCTTGTAGTTCCTTATCCACATCCTGCTCCTTCTGGCGATGACTGTAGTCAAAAACCTCACGCCCAGCCCCCAGATCAATATCCTGTCGCCAAAGGATGTCAATCAGATCTATATCCTGAAAGACAGACCAAGATGACTTTAGCTTTCAAGAAGCCCCCCCGCTCCAGGGGGGAGCTCCCTGTCCTACCCCCTCAGAGGTCCCACCTAGTGACATTCCAGTTAGTCCTGGGTGGGGCTCTACCCAGGCCCGTGCCTGTCAGCCTTTCTCCCTTGCTTCCTCTGACCAGTAAGGCATCATTCGTCCATTCCCAGGCAATCTTCCACCAAAAAGAGTCATTAGTAAAAACTACTAACATATCTAGCGCCACACAGGTCTTCAGGTTTAGGATGTGGGCCAGAGTCACACCCAGGCTAAAGAGCAGGGCTCCATCACCTCTAATAAGGAAGAGGAGGAAGCAAGAGAGCCCTCTCATTTTAGGAGTAGGAGACCCTGCAAACAGACTGCCTGACTCCCGCAAGCAAGGGCAAAGTGCCCTGTGGAATTGCTTAGCAGTGACCAGGCTTGCATCAGCCTGTGGTGCCACTGCATTTGCATAAAGGGGTGGGGTGGCCTGGAGAGGAAAATCCCTGCATTTCCAACCACCTGATGCAACCAATGACAGCGACAGGCTGTCTCCAGCCCTTCCTACAGCCATTCCCCTTCACCGGCTGACAGCTGGAGTAAGCTTGAACATCCACAACTATTAAAGGCCCAGCCTCACCTCAAGATCCATCCGTGACAGAATTCAACTGATCCCAGCAAGCTGCCTCATTCCCAAGGGAACCTCAGACAGTCAGATGATCCCCACTACACACTCCACCCCTGCTCAGGCCAATCTCACTGTATTCCCTTACACCAATGCTACCTCCATCCCTCCCTCCCATACCACACCCCAGGACTCACCAGCTCCCCATCAGTCAACCCACTCAAGGACATAACTCTCATCATTGCTGAGCTCTGCCTGCAACCTTGGACATGAAAATGCCTCCTTCCACTTTGTTCTGTGGCTCCTAGACAGTTCCTGCACCAACTGCCACCCCCACTGACATCAGCACAGAACCCCAATAGAGTCATTTGGATTTCCTATATATACCCCTCCCTTTAGGAGTCTTCCCAAGAAGCCTGAAGAGACCCTCAAGTGTTGCCTTCCATTTAGAGATTTAAAAGCACACACTTTCCATTGAAAAGTATCTTTAGACCAGACCCACCTCTGTACCCCCAAGCAGGGACGGTACTTTCCTATCACCACCTACTCCATCCTAAGACCCCTAAGACCTCCCACATATACCTCTCCCTTGAGTCTCCCACCATACACCAACCTGAACAGAAGCCCTGGACCCAGGAGCAGAGGGGGGCTGGGCCACCCGGTGACCAGCCAGCCAAGAGTTAAGTGGCCTGTCTTTGGCATGGCCCCCACCACTGTGAGAGCTGCGATCCAGGCGGGTCATGGTCTGCGAGAGGAGCCCCAGGGCAGCCGGTGCCGGTAAGCCGGACAGGGGGCTGCAAGGAGCTCGTGGCTTGCAGGAAGCACACCAGGCTGGAAGGGTGGCCCCTTGGTAGCTCCGAGGGGCCCGAGGAAGGTGCCCCGCCCGTGCTGCTGCCTGGGCGGCCCAGCCCAGCCCCCTTCCTCCATCCTGGAGCAGCCCCCTCCCACCTCACAACCCCAGTTCCACTCAGGCGCCCAGCAGCCCCCACCCTAAGCTCACCGCAGAGGCTGCAGTGAGTCGGGACTCCCACCCCATGCTCCGTGCTCACGCTGCAGAGGAAAGCGAGCTACCTCCTGGGCCTGTCCTCCCGCTCCTCCCTCTCCCCCTCCCCACGCCCCTCAAACTTGTTACCTAGGCTGCCGCAAGGAGCCAATCCCCTCCCCCTCCCACCCCGCAGGTCACTGCTGAGGCTGCAGAGAGCCAATCCCCTCCCCCAGGTCAGCAGCTGGGGCTGCGGAAAGAGCCAATCCCCGCCCACTGTCGTTACCTAGGCTGCGCCGGGAGCCAATCTCCTCCCCCAAGTCTCCGCTGGAGATGCGGAAGGAGCCAATCCCCTCCCACCGCCTGTTACCTAGCTGCAGAAGGGAGCCAATCTCTGCACCAGGGCAGCTGGAGAAGCTGCCGCAAGGAGCCGGCCCATCCCTGGGCCGCCTCCGTCTCCTTGAGGAGATGCACCCAGGGGCGGGCAGCCCCACCCAGCCCAGTCAATCAGCCGGGGTGGTGCAGTAAGAGAGTCCGGGGGGAAGGGGTGCCACTCTCCTCCCTCCCTCCTGTCGCATCTTGCTCTCCAGCCCACTCCTGTGACTGGGCAGACACTCCTCCAGAAGCTTCACTAAGAAACTAAATTCTTTGCTGGGAAGTGGAAGGAGTTTTCCCATTCCTTAAGAAGGTTGTGGCCAGTCCTCAAGGCTAGGGATCACAAGCCAGGCTGGGCAGGAACCCAGGGCTCCCAAGCCAAAAAAAAAAAAAAAAAAAACCAACAGGGCCCAGAGCTTGGTCACCCTCAAACAGGCCAGACCGGAGGAAAGGGAAAGCCATCAGTACATACATACGGCATGTCAGTGCAGGCCAGGCCCAGCCCCTGACAAAAGGTGGGGGACAAACAATTCTGAAGCCTAGCCTTAGAGAGACAGGTGCTGGGCACCATCCTGGCCCCAAATATGCCAGTTACCCCCCTTTCATTTTAGCTTTTTCAAAGAACAATTTGTGGTGAGGATGGAGGATCAAGAAGGGGAAAAAAAGCATTTGGTGTCCGACCCCGACTAGATCAATCCTGGCAGGGGTGGGGGTAAACCTGGCAGAATTGGGACTTGAAATTACACGTGTGCCTCCTGAACTGCTGCTTTCCCAGGGGAAACAGCTTTCTCCTCCCCACGACTCCCCCAGAGCCTAAGGTCAGGCCAGAGAGACAGGGTGTCCTCCCTTGGTTACAGCCTGCTTCTTGCCCAGGGAAGAGCTGTAAACAGGCCACCCCTTGCTCTGGGAAGGGTGCCAACCTGGAGGGGAATCCTATCCCTGACAAGGACCTAAGCTATGGCTGTCCATCGAACAGGCCTGGCAGCAGGGAGCACTACCACCCCAGCGATAATACCAGCTCCAGCAGTGCCTGTCACATGCTCTGGACCTGGGTATTTTTATCCCTGAGTTACTGAGGAAATGTTGTTCTAGGCACATCATAATCCTCCCTTCCCTCCTCCCCAGCCTAGGTCCCTCAGGCATGACCCACTCAACTTCCCAAAGGGAGTGGTAAAGGCCTGGGGTCAAGGAAAACAACCTTATGACCAAGAAACAGCAAAGCAGATACCAAACTCCATCCCATTCTGCCCAAACACACCCAGTTACATCTCAAACATTCTATATCCCCGGAAAACTCCCTGAAGGCCATTATCAGTGCTAAACCCTGTACGGTTCTCAGGAGAAGACCGTCCCATGCCATTTGGGGCAGGAATAGGTTTCTTCAGATCACTGGACTTCAGAAGCCCATTTGAAAGACAGGATAAGAGAAGCAGAAAAAGGTGAAGTTCAAGTGACACCGCAAGAACCTAAGACACTGCCAAACACGGTGGGACATGCCTGAAATCCCAGCATTTAGGAGAGGCAGAGGTAGAGGCAAGAGAAAGTCACAAGTTCAAGGTTACCCTGGTCTATATAGCAAGATCCAAGCCGGCCAGATCATCTCATAAATATAAAATTTTAAGGATATAAGACAAAAGGCCCTGATAGGCACAAAAAAAAAAAAAAAAAAAAAAAAGTCAGCCATGCTCCTGACTTCCATGATCAGACAATCCCAGTTTTTCTCACACAGATCCAGTAAGAGCTAGCTGATCTGAGTGGCTTTCCCAATCTCAGTGACTATGTAGTCTGAGGCTGCCCTGTGCTGTTTAAGACAGTCAGCCGCATCCCTGCCTTGCCTCTCAGGTGCCAGTAGCAACCCTCCCCACAGCTGTGACAATAAATCAAAATCAAAATCACCCCTAAATGAGGACCATGGACCTAATACAAGCCATATTCTCTGTCAGTCACTAATAAGACAACTGAGATAACGAAAGGGAGACAAAGTGTGGTCTGAGATGATGGGCAAGAGTCGAGCTCTGCAGCTAGCCAACCTTTCACATTAATCGGGCCAGTGCAGTGGGTCTTTTTGAGCTCCTAGGGCTTGGGGCAAGTCAAGGCTGTTTCATTACCTAGGTCAGACAGAGGCAGCAGTAGCCATCTGCATCATTAAAGGAAAGGAACTGAATCCTTTTCTACCCTGAAGTTTGTCAGCCCTGTGCCAGGAGCTAAAGATCACCTCTAACAACTCAGAACACGCTGACCTGGGAAGAGTACAGTTCTAGTCTAGTTCCCAGGCTTTTCTGCTCTACTCCCCATAGTGGGCCTTTAGCAAAGAATGGGCGCCTTGGCTCTCCTGGCCAAGAATAACTATCCAAGTCTACCCCTTGGCTCAAGCCCAGGAGAGTTAAAGGGAGTTTACGACACAGGCCTAACCGCAATGGAGAACTTTAGGGTGCAAAATAGGCCACGTAGTATGTGTCTTAGTAACAACATACACTCGATCAAAGCCCATCATAACACTGCCCTCCCCCATCTAAAGCCTCCAGCAGTCACATTGAGATCTAAGTGGTAAAAACCCTGGTATGTTCTAGGAACCACCCTGCCCTGACAGTACACTCAGAGGTGGGTCAATGGTTCAAAACATGGAAATGCAGCTCCCAACCCTGAAGTCAGACAATTCAGCCCATTCCTATCCAAGCAGTGCCAGAGGTCCAAACCCTGGACCCCAAGGGCTCAGAGTGGCGTCAACAAGCCTCCAGAACCAGCCCACTCCTTCCCAACACCCAGGCCCACCCACGACCACAGGGCCACTAACCTCTTTAGTTAAGTCTCCACCGACAGGAGGGGCCACAGCCCCCAAATCTTCCAAATCTTCACTGAATCCCTGCTCCGTTTCACTTTCTCTCACCCCGTTGTCTGGGCCTGTCACGTCTTGGAGGCCACTGGAACTCTCGAGGGCGAGGCCTGAGTTGGGCTGGCTGCCAGAGACAGACCCCTCCGGGTCCCGGTGAACCAACCAAGCATTTACCTCAGTGGTAGGCACCTGGAACCTATCCAGGGCCCTCACCTGACTGAGGAGTCGCCGGGCAGTGAAGTAATTGTCCAGGTCTATGCTCTTGGGGTGGATCCCATAGCCATCCAAGGTATTCCTCAGGTTGTGGAACTGGGTCTGAGTATAGGCAGAGCTGGGCCCCAGGATGATCTCCCGGAGTGGGGGGAGCTGTGAGGTCAGGTAAGTATCCACGTCCACCCGAACCCCAATCAGACTCAGCAGAATGGTGAACTGGAGAAGTCCTTCCGTTAAGTATTTCTTCAGAGAAAGCATTGCTGAAGGACCAGAATGTTTATGCTTTTTTGTTTTTAAATCTTCCACAAGACAAATCAAGGCCACTGCTCTGCCACTCCAGCCAGCAGGTTACCCTCCTCAGTAGGAGACCCTGTACCCTACCCTGGCACAACACAGGGGCTGAGCTCCCTGATGGCCCCAGAGGAAAGCACTCCCTGTGGAGCGAAAGCCACACTCCAGACCGCATTCACTCTTGCCTTCTTGACACCTCACCTCTAAAGTTCAGCTGTTACTAACCCAGTCCAGGCCCTCAAGGCCCTCTCAACTTACTGTCTCCAGTCCACATCCAGTCAGCTCCCACTCACATCGGCTGTCCTCTGTGGAGACCCCACTGTAGGCTGTTCACAGGAACAGCTGGTGAGTGGATTTCTTTCTTTCCTTCCTTCTTTCTCCTTCCTAGGGTTTATTTTCTTTGGCTGGAGCTACAGGTCTTTGTCTTGGGTCAGAGTGTCCCGCCTCCTCTGCACTTACCAGGGGGGTTTCCAGAGAAACCTGAAATGGGAATCACAAGAGCAACGAGGTAAGATTCCATGCTCTTTACATCATGCTCAGGGTAAGAACCTTCAGGGGGAAGGTAGGCAACACATTAAAAGGCTACTTTTACATGGAAAAACCAAGCCAAACCTGTTGTACCAACTAGGGAAGGAAGGAGAGGCCCACTCTCAAGTTACTAAATACTATAATTTTCTATTCTTTTTAAAAGTAGCTCTCTTTGAAGAAGCAGACACTGCACACAGCACTCAAAATATCTTTACTTTGTCTAATTTACCAACACTCTCAACAGAACACATTACCCAGTTTCTAATTTTAGCACGAGAAGCCCATTTCCTATCTCGGAAAAAAAAAAAGTTGGTTTCCCATGTCATTGTCCCTTCCAACTCTAAAGGGGTGGGAGAGATTATTGATGGGAGACCTGTGAAAAGTAGAGGGGAAAGTTCAGGCCCCCATCTCACACAAAGAAATATGCCTTTTTGTTTTTCCGACTTTGAAATTTCCCTTTCCTACCATATTTGCGTTAAAAATAAATAAATAAATAAAAGACTAGCCAAACAGCACAGGCCACACAAAAAGCTGAACCATAAGGAGCAGAAGCATTAGCCCAGTCTGGACACAATAATGAGACCGTTTCAATAGTAAAGGAGGAAAAAAAAACTTAAAGGGGAGACACAGACCACTGGTGCCTAGTTAGAGGTCCTAGGTTCAATCCCAGTACGGCAAAATAAAAAAAAGGGGAGAAAAGGTAGTGGAGACCAGTGGAGGAGGGTGGGCCCCTGCTCCATCCAGAATTTGAATTCACAGGTTTTATCTTTATTTGCATGACCTTCTGGGCCAAAGAAGGCGGCTATGGCCAAGTTCTCAGTCTAAGCTGCCAAGTGGGGAGAAGGTAAATTTGCCTTTCTGTTTCTGGTTTCTACTTCTGAGCTTCCATTAACCTCATAAACCACCTAACTCGGTTGTAACCCACTCTCCACTTCCCTCCAAAGGTGAAGTGGGATCTACCGGCACGAGGCACCCCCCCACCCCCACAAACCCCCTCATTCGGTTGAGTAAACAGGCCTGCTTCTGATAAGCCGCCCGTCCTCACGCAATTCATTACTAAAACGTCCCAAGTGCCAACGGAGTTCGAGAGAGCGGACAAAGTTCTTCAAAGCCAAGAAGGCCAGAGAGCACCCTGGCCCGAGTCCGCTCCCACCCCGCTCCATACCCGAGTCTGGCTGGGACCAAGCTGCCATGCCCACTGTCGGCGCCTCGGCTCGGAGCTTTCGGGGACACCAAGCGACAAGTGCTCCTCTCCGGGCCTTGACCCACCCTTTAAAGTGCGCCGCCTCAGCCCGCCCTCTGCTCCCGAAGCCCCACCCCACTCCCCAGGCCGGCCTCACCACGCCCTCCCGTGCCCTCGGCCCTTCGCAGTCCAGCCCACCCAGGAACACGCTCTTTTCGGTCTCGCGTTTCGCTCCTGCCATGTCCGGGGCCCGAGTCGGACTAGGACTCCGCTTGGCCTCCCCCGTTCCTGCCTCCGGTCCCTCAATCCCGGCTCGCCGCCCCTCATCCCACGAGCCTCGGCCCTGTTGCGCCTCGGCTCTCTTCGTCAGGAAAGGGAATGTGTCAGGTACCCACTGCTGAGGTCGCAGTCCGCCGCTGCCGCCACAGCAGGCCCTCAGCCCGAGTCCCGGCCTCGCCGCCGCCAACGCCGCCGCCGCCGCCACCTCCGGCCGGCCTGGAGCGCCCAGCCTCGGCTTCCCTCCCCGCCCCCTCCTTCCACTGCACTCGGAAACCCGCCCTCCGCGGCCACCCCAGAAACAGTTGCTCCAATCAGCGAGCCGAAACTGCCTCCGTCACCGGATGTCGTCTTGATTGACAGCAAAGAGAACCCAATAGCCGAGCGTGTCCCCGCCTCCTTGGCCCCGTTTTCCCGAGACTGACGTGGAGAACGGTCCAATGAATGTGCAGACCCGCCCCGCGGTATGGGCCCGCCAATGAGTGGGGCGAAGGCCCTAGTGTCCGGCGTGCTGAACCCCTCCGCCGCGCGTCGAAGGCGGGCGGTGTTATGAGTTAGGCGCTTCTGGTGTGTTGTGTGCCTGGGAGTAAGGTCTTTTAAGGCAGAGAAAGTAGTGTTGCCGCCGGAGCCCGCAGTTCCATCCTTGAGGGTTCCCACGGTGACTTGCAAAAGTCCAGTGAGCCCTAAGGGGGGCCGAGGCGGAGCACGGAGCATGTGGCTTTCGTGGTGGCGTCGTTCGTGTCGCCATCTTGGGTACTGGCAACGGAAACCGGTACCCCTTCTCTGCCTTAGGGCCTGGCGTGGTAACCTGGGTCGTGCAGGAAGGGTGGTATCTTGTAGCCCAGGCAGCAGTCAAATGGCAGAAACTGCCGGGCAGGCAGATTATCATGGCCGTAGTGGGATGTTGGTAGTGTGAGAGATGGGACGTAGTCACCATTTTTGTCATCGAGGGAATACGGCGAACAGCCCCAACCCCCCCCCAACCTCTCTTACACAGCGTGGGTTTTGCTTTTCAGGAACGTTTTCCTTAGTTGCCAGAGTTCTCCAATCCCATACACCAACACAACCAAACCATTTTTTGTGACTATCAAATTTAGTATGCTCTCAACATTTGTTAAATTCCAAATTCCAAAGAGATTCTCGTTTAGTAGTCATGGGGTAGGGACCTGATAACATGCCCTCTTGAGTAATTCTAATGCAGCTGGTCCGAAGACCACATTTAGGAAATCATTGAATTGGAATTTGTGCTGTGTTTCTCCCAACGGTGGGACAGAGGTGAGGTGCCAACTGAGTTCTTGTCTCCTTTAAAGAGGCCATAATCTAGTTGACAGTTCATTGCTCATTGTCCTTGTGTAATTAAGGACAAGGCCAGCTGATAACAGATAAATTTATGCTGTGTGTGAACAGTTTAGCCTGAATTTGGAGAGGTTCACAGAGTGTAAAGTACTTTAACGGATATAAATGTGCACCAGCATCTTTTCAATTGATCCTTGCAAAAATTACTAAGCTACTATACACCTTTTTAAATTAAATTATTTTGAGCTAGTTTACACTTTCAAAGACTTTTACTTACTCATCATTTTTAGTGTATCCCAATAAATAACTAGAATATAAACTCTATGAGACTAGAAATTTGTGTCAAAACACCAGGGCAGCCAGGTGTCGTGGTGCGTGCCTTTGATCCCAGCACTTGGGAGACAGAGGCAGGTGGGTCTCTGTGAGTTCAAGGACAGAAAAAAAAAAAAAAAGGAGTACTGGGGTACTTGGTGATAGAGTACTTACCTAGAGTACTTTCCTAGCACTGTGTTCAAACTGCTATGATAAAAGACAGTAACAACAGAAAAGGAAATCAAACAGTTAATTCGAAACTCCCACTAAAATAGAAGCATTCTAAGAGTACAGTGGTTTATTTTGTTTTATTTTCTGAGACAGGCTCTCACTCTCTAGCCCCAGGCTGTCCTGGAACTTAGGCCAAGCCTCCTGCTTCAGCCTCCCAAGTGCTGTAGTATGGGTGCATTTCAGCTGGAGTGCATTCCTAACAAAATCAAGGCCCAGATGGGTGTAGGGACCCAGGCTTGTAATCCCAGCACTCAGAAAGCAGAGGGATCACTGCAAGTCTGAGATCAGCCTGGTTTACAAGCTGAGTTTCAGGCCAATGAGGCCTACATAGCAATAGCTTTATCTAAAAAACAAAAACGACCAGAAAAGTGGGGGGAAAAAAAATCTAACAAACAAAACAATAAGGCCCTAAATTCAATCCCTAACAAACCCTCCTTAAAAGGGAGAAGAGGCCGGGCGGTGGTGGCGCACGCCTTTAATCCCAGCACTCGGGAGGCAGAGCCAGGCGGATCTCTGTGAGTTCGAGGCCAGCCTGGGCTACCAAGTGAGTTCCAGGAAAAGGCGCAAAGCTGCACAGAGAAAACCTGTCTCGAAAAACAAAAAAAAAAAAAGGGGGAGAAGAGGTTCAATTATTACAGGCTTTGGAAACTACTTTTGATTTTTTTTTTTTTAAGGCTCGATTCCTCACTTGGCCTCACAAGATAATTAAAAGCAGAATAAAAGCCCAGAGTCTCTCCCTTCATTTTGTATCTATCTTGTTTAGTTAGTCATCTTTTAATCAGTTGTTAAATGCCCCTTCAAGTCCCCTAAAATGTGCTCCAGTCAGATAACTAATCAAATGGGGGCAATCTCTCTGGTAATAAGGTTGTTCCCTGAAGCAGGAGTGCTCATGAATCCAGGTTGCTTCCTCAGGCTTTGAAAACAATCACTTCTTCAGGCCACTTTGCAGAACCAGAACTCACCTAGTCCAAGACGGCTTCGTTATGCGTGCATCTTGCCTATTGTCTCAGTTCTTCCCGTTTAAATCTAAAGCATTTGGTTCTGGCCTTCCTATTGCTGTGACCTTTCAATACAGTTCCTCGTGTTGTGATGACCCCCCAACCATAAAATTATTTTCGTTGCTACTTCATAACTGTAATTTTGCTAGTCATGAATCATAATGTAAATATCTGTGTTTTCTGATGGTCTTAGGCAACCCTTGTGAAAAGTTCCTTTGACCCACAAGGGTGTTGCGACCCCCAGGGTTGAGAACCGCTAATCTGGAGCTTACGTCAGACTCTGAAGACAAACTCAATTTCACTGCACTCCTTAACTTACTCCTCTTTCCAATAAACCGCGTCGATTATAAGTGTCTTTGCTTTTCCCCATTGCTTGTGTTGGTTTGAATGAGATGACCTGCATAGTTCTAGACATTTGAATACTTGCTGCCCAGTTGAAGTCTATTTGCAGAGGCCTAGAAGTTGTGGCCTTTCTGGAGGAAGTATGTCACTGGGGCGGGCTTTGAGTTTTCCACAGACTTTCCATTTCAAATTCACTCTCTCTGTTTCCTGTTCACTGTTAGAGACGTGAGCCCTCAGCTCTCCGCTTCCAGCTCCACTGCCATGCCTGCCTGCTGTCACCCCTCCCCGCTATGATGGGAAGGGACTCTTAGCCCTCTGGAACTGTAAACCCCAAATCCTTCTACAAGCTGTCTTGGTCATGGTGTTTTATCACAGCCATAAAAAAGTAACTAAGACACTCATCTCTTTAATTGATATATTGGGATGGGTCTAAGAGCCTGGCTAGTTAGAACTGCCAGAGTCCAAGCTTTTGTCCTAAAATTCTGATAATACAGTCAAGAGTTATTTAAAAAAAAAAAAAAGAATTACTTTCCACACTTGGAAAGAGGCTATGATATGCTACAAGAAAACAGACCATGTTTTAGCCACTAAATTATCAAGACCACAAAGGTAAATACTGCTGTTAGTGAAATAAAGGATAGAGGAACAGTTTACAGAAGATCCACACATGTGTCCCTTGTGGGCTGCATCCCATCATAGCCCATCACCCACAGTCCTGTGCAAGCTCAGGGTCCTTTACCCATGGGTGGAACACAGCTCACTCGGCTTGAGGAGGTGGTGATTTCTCTGGACCAGCCTCCCCTGAAGAGTGGGACCATGGAGTATAAACCATTGGAAGTGGGATACAGGCATTAGAGAAGGGGGTTCTCACTGGGTGATCTGCACAAACTTCAGTAACTAGATCCTGGTGGTAGTGACCCAGTTTGGGAAGATAGGTACCTTGGCTTCCCTGGAGCCCAGCAATGTAACTTCAACAAGCTGATACTCAGCACAAAAGTCCTTCTCAGTCAGAATGAACCCCTCACCCACATCTTTGCCAAGAACTTAGTAATGAGTACCTTTTCTAGCCAAGACCTTAAAGGACAGAAGCATGGAGAGGCCAGAAGCCTTAGAGGAAGTGATCCCAGTATGCCAGGAAAATACAAGTAACAAGTCAGCAGTTCAATGATACCAGGTGGAAACTCAGTCACCCAGCAGGATTTTGAAGATTCCTTCTGTCCACAGTCAGGAGCAGGAACTTTTTCTGGTTTTATCCCTTGAAGCAAGAAACAGCATTCATGTCTCAGACACTCTTCCACTGTGTGACTGCTGTATCTTGGTGGTTGGTGGAAGTAGTAGGTATGATTTTGGAGTTGGGAAAGGCTATTCTGGGCTCGAGCAGTATACCAACTGAATTGTGGCAAACACAAATAAATGGGACTCTCGGCCCTCAGTATGCAGCAGCATTTGTGAGGAAAATGGTTTTATTTATTTGTTTTATTAAAAGTAAGGATTTTTTTGTTTTGCTTTGTTTGTTTTTTGTTTGTTTGTTTAGCTGAACAAGAGCAATGCCAATAGACATTGTGGGTGGAGGCTTAATATTAACTACAAATGTTCGGCCAATAGCTCAGGCTTATTACTAAATAGCTCTTACATTTTCAATTAACACATATTTTTTATCCACACTTTGCCCTGTGGCATGCCCATCTTGCTTCTCCCTGCATCTGCTGACAACTCCATTGACCCTGCCCTTCTTCCTGACATTCTTTTTTTTTTTTTTTTTTTTTTTTTTTTGGTTTTTCAAGACAGGGTTTCTTTGTGTAGTTTTGATGCCTGTCCTGCCTGTCCTGGATCTTGCTCTGTAGACCAGGCTGGCCTTGAACTCACAGAGATCCACCTGGCTCTGCCTCCCAAGTGCTGGGATTAAAGGCATACGCCACTACCGCCTGGCTCTTCCTCACATTCTTAGTTTGGTTTTCCCACCTAACTTTATGCTGTTCAGCTATTGGCCAGTTAGCTTTGTTATTAAACCAATCACAGCAACAAATCTTCACCGTGTACAAAAGGATTATTCCACAGCAAGACGTGCC